GGGGTGTATGTGCCACCATGTGGGTGCAGCCTGGGGAAGAGAAAGCTCCGGACAGAGTTTACAGTGACCTTCTAGTACCTGAACGGGGCTGCAGGAAAACTGGAGAAGAGCTTTTTAGAAGGGCTTGTGGTGATAGGACAAGGGACGATGGTTTTAATCTAGAGCAGAGTAGATTTAGGTTAGACATGAGGAAGAAGTTCTTTGCTTTGAGGGTGGTCAGACGCTGCAACAGGTTGCCCAGAGAAGCTGTGGATGCCTCATCGCTGGAAGTGCTCAAGGCCAGGCTGGATGGGGGCTTGAGCAGGCCGGGCCAGAAGGAGGGGTCCGTGCCCGGGGCAGCGGGGCTTGAACTAGATAATCTTTAAAGTCCCTTCCAACTCAAGCCGTTATATGGTTCTGCGATTCTATGGTTCTATGATTCTATGATCAGCCCAGGAATGACTGCATCAACCCATGCAGGGCTGCATCAGGGACTTTGGACAACCCAGGGGTGTGTGAGCTGTAGTGTTAGTTCCTGAGCCCAGACAGGGGTACTTGGACACCAACCACAGCATTAGTGGCCAGGCCTAAGCACGAGCGCACTGGCCCACACGTGGGTGCATCAGGGATCCGTACAGCAGCCTAGGTGTGTGCTCCCAGGCACCCTCAGGAGCAACGGTCCACTGTCAGGTGTCCCAATGGATTTTTTGTCCTTTGAAAGAGGAATAGGGATGTTGCTTTGCTTCGGTTTATGAGCAACCGTGCTCTAAGATGGGTATCTGGGCAGGCAGTTAAAATTCGCAGACTCCATTTGCCCTCCAAGTGTTAGATTGCTGGACCTGGTAAAAACACCCAGGAGGCAACATGCCTGCACAGAACATGCTCTGTGTTACACCCAGCTCATGGGATCAGGTGGCTTTTTGTACAGGATTACAGTGTCCTGAGATGCTTTTAGCATGTGCCAGGTGCTCACAGTCCTAATGATGGTTGTGGTGTGGTGCCAGAGAATGTGGCCTAGGAACCACTGTGGTGGCCATCCTGTATGAGAGATATTTCTGCTCAGGGTTGATGTTCTGTGGCCAGATATGATAACAGGATGATCATAGTCTGTGCAGAGTAAAAGCGTCTAACCCGGTTATCAATGGTGGCCTCGTATGTATGAAAATGCCCCTGAGACAGAGCAGTGGCAGCTCTATGCTGTGCAAGTGTAAATCTTAAATTAATTCAGACAGCAGAATCTTGTCTACTCAGATGGGATCAAAGTGGCTCTGCAGAAATCCTGCTTTTAGCATTTTGCAGGATACCTCTTCTATTCCTGAAAGTGTGAAGAGAAAGACAACCCTTTTCCACATCAGCTTCTAGAGATCTGATTTTTATTTCATCTCATATTGTACTGGAAGCAGCAAAACCTTTAAATATATTCCTGAAACAAGCAGTGTCCAAAAGTCCATTTGCAGATAGGAAACCAGTTAGCAGTGCCTGCTAAGCACTCCTTCTGCCTCTGAAAGCAGTAAGTAAGTCTCCTGCATACATCAGAAACTCAGCTTCCCCCCACACTCAGAAGAGGGCTGAGAGGATGCCTTTGGCCATGGAGGAGAGGAGGGCTGTGGTGGGACATCCCCTGGTCTTGCTCCCCCGCCTCGACACCCAGGGGTAATTAGATGGGCGCAGTAGGTCTCAGGGGACATGTCCATGTGGATTATTGTGTGGTGGGATATGGGACTCCAAACTGCGGGAGAGCAGATGCCTTGTTCTGCTTCTCAGGGAAACAGCTTGCTTAAAGGCTTGGATTTCCAGATGGAGGTGGACAGGGAATGTCAGGGATTACGTCAAAGTTAGACGCTTTCCTGAGGAGTCCCGTTGCTTCCTCCGGGCTGATAGCAGCTGTAAATAAGCCATTGTTTGATATGGGTGTTTGCCCAGATTCAGATTGTTGCAATTCCTCGGATAAATAGCTGCCTCAGGATTCCTGGAACAGGTAGGACAGATTTGGCTAACTTGTCTTGATGTTATTTGTTTTATTTTCTGATGACTTATTTTCATGGTACAAGCTTGTTCCAGCCCTACTGAAGTTACTGATTGTCTGCCCATTAGTTTTGTTGATCTTTGCACCACATCATAACTTAAAATGAATGTGCAGAGCACGTCATTTGGAACTGAGTATTTAGATGTATTAGTGATGCTGAGCTGTAACCAGATGTAGAGGTTTGTGGTGTTTTGAGTTAGTGCATGTGACAAGACAATGTGAAACATGAGGGACGACAATATTGATTCAGATGGGGCTGAGCTCCCATGCAGTCCTGCTTTCAAATTCCCTTTCTGACTCATTTCAGTTAGTTTTCTAAGGCGTGACAACCACATCGGCAAATGCTCCGTGTCTTTCTGTCCCTGGCACATCTCATGTAACCGAGCTGAGTGCCGTCACCCAATCTGCCCGTGTAATTTCAGTGTTTTCTGTCACGGGCACTCTCCTTTTTATCACATTAATTGCTGCTCATTTGAAGGCATAGCAACCTTCATTTTGCAAAGGATGGCTTGACGTTCCAGAAGGAAAGCTTATTGTATGTTAATGATCTGTTATATGGCCTCCCAGATTATTATGGTATGTAATGGAAAATAAAAGAAAAATTAAATGTTGTGTGTACTTAGCAGCTAATTTAAATACTTCAGTATCTTAGATGTTATATCTTTTTCAGCTATTGAATAGTACTGTAATTCACATTAAGAAATAACTCCCTATAGATTTAGAAACAGCTCCCTATATATTTTTTTTAAACTAAGCTGGTTTTGCTTGGAAGAAACACCATCTGGAAATTAAAAAATGCAGAATTTATTCAATAAAGATAGTTTCTCTTCCTAACTTTCTTGCCTCAGTTATTTATCTGTCCTGTGAAAATAACTGAGCCTCCACTGGGTCATGTTGCATTATTTGGAGAGCGCTTTTGACGTGCTTGTCAGGAAGATGCATTACAACTGGAAAATATTGTGTGTTTATTACAAGGAAAAGCCCTTGCAAAGCTGAACCAAGTCGCTTTGGTCCATTTGTAATTTACAGACAGATTTACTGCGTTGCAGTGCCTTTTTAAAGAAGGAAAATGTGCCCATCAGAATTCTCCTAGTGGAGAACACAGTGAACAATGTGAACCTGGTTCAGTTCTTAGATTTCTGAGGCTGCACCTTCCATAAATGAGGGTTGAGCTGCAGCCGCTGCTGGTGGACCTTGCCTGGATTATGGCCATTTGGTGCTCAGTGTCTGAAATCCTGTAGCCTCAGCATCTCCCCACAGAACTTGGGGACCAGCATCATGATCATGAGAATCATTTCCTCACTAGTTCTAGGTATATAAACTGTCTGTAGGCAAAGATCCGTCAACAAAGGCAGCTGGAGCTGAGCAAGGATGATGTGTGCAGTGATAGCAGCCCAGGGCTGGGCGCACTGTGCCCTGTGAAGGATGGGCGTCCCCATCTCCTCGTGCACTCTCTCATCTCGCTCCTTCCAACCTGCAAATCACATCTGTGTTTGAGCAGCATGTCTAGATTGTCAGATAATGAGGTATGGAAGTCACAGGCTTTTGTCCTGCCGACCTTTCCTGTTCACTCCTCAGCCTGGAGATGGAAGACTTGAATCTCCTTAGCTAACTCCTTGGGTTCACTGCCATGCTGTGTTGAATCTGCTTGCTATTTCATAGGTGAAGTCAGAGCATGCAAGATAGAAAGTCTCTTTTTTTTTCCCAGTAAAGTCTAGTAGGATGATGTAGCAAGATACATGTCATCGCTGGTTTTCTTGAGTTAGTGATATGGTTGGAATAAATAAATACCAGCATGAGAAAGCCAGCTTTCACCAGGGCTATTCAGGATTGTTTCCATGAATACTGAGATAAACCCCCTTTCTAAGACCTTTTTCTCTGTTAATATATCTTCAGAATAAACCACAACATATGTTGCAATTAAGGTGAAATTTCTCCAGTTAGTATTGCTGCTCAGCTGTTTCAAATATGGTCCAATAGATGGCTTGAGGCTTTTTCTCTCTTCCTCTAGGAATGCTCTCCATATGCAGCTCACTTGTACGATGCCGAGGATCCCTCCACTCCCGTGCGGACAATACCAGGACTTTGCCGAGACTATTGCCTGCAAGTCTGGCAAAAATGCCGCTCCATTTTTCGCTATCTTTCTGCAGACAGCGAGTTAATTGCGCTGGAGAACAACGTGGCAAAATTCTGCCGCTACCTGTCCTTGGAGGACACAGACTACTGCTTCCCACACCTGCTGACGAACCAGAACCTTAACCAAAACCTGGGGCTGGTGACCGCAGATGCAGAGGGCTGCCTCCAGCTCTGCCTCGTGGAGGTCGCCAACGGGCTGCGCAACCCCGTCGCGATGGTGCACGCCAACGATGGCACCCACAGGTTCTTCATTGCGGAGCAGGTTGGCCTGGTGTGGACCTACCTCCCCGATCGATCCAGGCTTGAGAAACCCTTTCTGAACATCAGCGAAGCTGTACTTACCTCACCTTGGGAAGGAGATGAGAGAGGTTTTCTAGGTATTGTCTTCCATCCAAAATTCAAATTTAATGGTAAAGTGTATGTCTACTATTCAGTTGAAGTTGGATATGAAGAGAGAATCCGAATCAGCGAGTTCAGAATTTCTCCTGTGGACATGAACACTTTGGACCATGGTTCTGAAAGGTATTGTACACATGTGCCTCTAGCAAATGTATCTGAGATCTCAGAGGGCAGTTTGTGCATTTTAAAGGCTACTAATGAATGAAACCTACTTAGCTTAATATTGTCCTTGCATTCCAGTGTCATAGTGAGTTAGTCCAATTCCTTGTGTAGCATGCTGAGGCAGGGAGTATGCCCGTCCTCCATGGATGAGCTGCAAGTGCTCAGGGATAGAACTTTTACATTTCTTGGTTGTAGTATATCAGAAGATTTAATTGAGCATTGACTGAACATTATTTACAGTTAATATTTTGGGGTTTGGTTTCTGCTTGGATTGTTTTTCATACTGTAATTATTACCTTTTAAAATAGATTCCTGCAAAGCATGAGTGAAATTCATTCTAAAGCCAAAGGTTTCCAAAATCAGTATAAATAAACTCAGTGATACCGGATCAAAGATGGATTTGGGCCCCCATTTCTCTATCTGAATGACAGCTCAACCCTCTGATGCTTCACATTTAATATCAAATTAAATAAAGTGCAAAGCACTGTGCTATTAATGAGTTCCTTTTGACTGGAAATTTCATTTGTTTGCGTCTGCTCCTGCAGTTGATCCACATTAACATGCATAGATAATTAGAGATTTGTTTGTGGAGACAGCGTACAGATTTATAACCCAGTGCAGAACCATGTAATAGAACCACTGCTTTAAGAGACCCTTGAATGTTATTATTCTTGAGATTTTTCCTTTGTTATATGTGCTATATAAGGGCTTTCCAAATACTCAGCAGTGGATGGTTCTGGCTCAGAAATGCATGTGACGTGATGATAGAAAGGGAATGTTGGTTTATAAAGCAATTACAGCAGTTCTGTGTAAGCAGCACTGAGGTGACAGGTGAGGGGAATTCCAGCGTGGTCCTCAGGAAAGTGAGTCAGGAGCTTAAACCTGCCGACATCAGGGCCCACACACTGTCTTGTTTAAAAATCCTCAGGCTCTATGTTTGTAACATTTTCTGTGCTTGTTTAGCTGGTGGTTAGTACGGCGAAAGCTTAAAAAAACAAAATTGTGGTCCTGTTGTGCTTGTGTAGGCACAGGTCCTGCTGACCTCATCCTGAGCTGCTGCCCGAGAGGGAGCTCAGGCCAGCACACGGGCGGCGTTGCCTTAGCACGAAGGCGTTTGTGTCTGTCTGTCTGCAGAGTTTTGCTCGGTGGGTTTTGGGGTTTTTCCCCGTCTTCTTTGGGAGATTGAGGAGGATTCCCCTTTGGGTCCACACAGGGTCCTCCCTTGCTCCTTTTACCAGCTGGAGTCTGTGTGCTTGTTCACAGTTACCTTTTCTCAGAGGTGGTGACATTTAACAGCAGGTGAAAATAATTACATAGTTGGGTTCCTTCCCACTATTTATCACGACTGTTAACTGTCAGTATTTTCAGAAGGGGTAAGAAAATAGCTAAAAATGAAGTGGTATAAGTGATTATGATAATTTGGTTTTGCAGCTATTAAAATGTACTGTCGGCCTGAAATCTGCACTTTTTTAGAAGCTGAAGTAAAATAAACTTGAATTATTATGCCTGGGAACCTCCACTGCCTGCATTTGTGACTTTACCTTTCCATAAAGTTATACTTTGTATATCTTACCCTTTTCTTACTGTGAAAGAGATGCCAAGCGGATAAAATAAACAGATTAAGAGAGAATTTTATTTTAAAATTAAGATAAAGGTTGCTGATACTGCTCTGAGTAACCTTTGTCAAAATGTTAATTTGTTGGTGGGGCTACTTTTACCCACTTTTTAAACTCAGAAGTCCTGTATATGTAGTTATAATGTAAGGATTCTTCTTTCTTTATGAATTTAACTGTTACTTAATGTTTGAAAAGTTTTAGATTTGCCTTGAAAGTTCCTGTCAGGATTGTGCCAAATGCTGTACAGGTGCACAGATGGACTGGAGTTCCTTCTCTTGCACTTTACAATCAGTTTTAAGACAAGATGCCTTTTATTAAAAAAAAGAAAAAAGGAAGTTTAGCAAGGAGGAATGATGTAATTAATTAAAAGTATATTCTGTCATGTGATTTGCCAGACTTTCCACATTACACAATTTGATGTTTCTGTAATCTGGAAAATATGTTGGAATTATTTAAGGTTATCACAGCAGCGATGCCCAAGCAAAATTCAGTGACGTGGGTTTGGAGGAATTTGCATCAAAACCAGTTTGTAGCCATTTTCAGGTGTTGATGGCAAGAGCAATGTGACATTGCTGTGTTCTTTGCTCGGGGCTTGTGCAGCAGGTAATGCCTCCTGCCTGTTCTCCTTTAGGGTCATCCTGGAAATAGAAGAACCTGCTTCCAACCATAATGGAGGAGAGCTGCTCTTTGGAGATGATGGCTACCTCTATATATTTACTGGAGACGGAGGCATGGCTGGGGATCCTTTCGGGACCTTCGGAAACGCCCAGAACAAGTAAGAGCGGACCCATCCCTACAGCAGCTCCCAGCCACAAGCGTGCATCCCCAGGGCTGTGGGGCATGGGAAGTCTGTGTCACTTGAAGGCTGTTCGATGACCTGAAGCAAACAAAAACATCTTGAAATGCTTGGGATTTTTTCAGAGATATTGTAAGATTTGCTGTTTCCAAAACAGAAAGAATCAAACCCTGGATTTAAAAAACAACCCATCTCTGATGGGCCTCTTTGCCAGCACCAGCAGGAGGAAACTTGGGGGTCTCTTTTCCTGATTTTTTAAATTTTATTTTATTTATTCTTTCCTCTCCTAATACAGATCAACCCTGTTGGGCAAAGTGCTGCGGATCGATGTGGACAACAATGACCACGGGCCTCTGTACCGAATCCCTCCCGACAACCCTTTTCTTAACGACCCCAAGGCTCGCCCCGAAGTCTATGCATACGGAGTGAGAAATATGTGGCGCTGCTCTTTTGATAGGGGCGAACCTCACACCAAGGAGGGCAAAGGGCGGCTCTTCTGCGGAGACGTGGGGCAGAATAAATACGAAGAAATCGACATCGTCGAGAAAGGGAAAAATTACGGCTGGAGGGCAAGGGAAGGGTTCAGCTGTTATGATAAAAAACTTTGTGCCAATTCTTCAATGGGTAAATAGACATGCCCTTGAAATTAGTGGTGTCTCTCCCTGTGTGGTTTTCTGTGCTGTCATTTTTAATTTCCCTGTTCAAGAAGCCTGGATGCTTGGTGGAAAACACATGTTTCTGAGATGTAAATCTATGCAGTCTCAATCTAGAAGGGAGCTGACTTGGGCGTAAATATTGAAAGTCCAAGTGTTAGGATTTTTGTGTTAGGAGGAAAATGAAACATAGTAGCTGTGATATTAGTCAAATTGCTTGATGATTCTGTGATTTAGGAGGACAGTTTCATCTTTTTCACATAAAATAAGATTTCCTGCGGTAGGGAGAGAGATTTGAAGCAATTCGATTTTTCCCCAGATTCACGAGTAGGGTCCTTATTTTTAAAAAAAGAAAGAAACGTATTGTGTAAGCTGGCCAACCAGTATGCAGCCTGCCTGCTTTGCAGGTAAATGAATGTACAGTGTATTTTTATTTCCTTTAGCTATGTGAGAAAGGAAAACCTTAAATTTTATTTTTACCTTCTCAAACTTGAATTCAGGCTGTTTGCTGGCTGCTTAAATTCCAGTGCACGTGTGAAGTCAGAGTGTGTTGTGTCGCAAGGTCTGCTGTGAGTCACATCTTGTGCTGGGGCATCTCCCCAGGGATCCAAAGGGGCGCTGGGCTGGCACTGATTTGCACTAGTTGAGATTCTGATTTTTTTTTTCTGTTCTATGTGCTAGTGGTCTAGTTTAACTTCTTTCCTTTGATTAACTTACTTTAACTTCATTCTTTTTAACTGAGTTGCAAATACCGTGGTAGTGATTAAGTAGGGTTTTTTAGCAAAAATTTTGAGAGCAAGTAGATTTTTTCACACTCAGTTCCCTTTGCTGAAGCAATTGCCAGCGAGCCTGCTTAGTGCTCTCCTGTGTGACAGCACTGGTGTGAGCATTCATGGGAAGCACTTTACTGAGGTCTCCGGGGATTCGGAACAATTTCTGATGCCTTTAGAGACCCTTTTGTCAGAACAGTGAAATGTCACAGCCCCTTTAAAATGATGTGCAGCTGAACTGCAGAAAGCACCTGCTTCAGATGAAATGCCCTCCGTGCAGGTTCCTTGCTGGCATTGCTGCTGGCTTTGCTACTTGAGGCATCTGCTACACGTGCGGGGAGAAAGGCTGTGAGGAAGAGGATGGGTGGGTACCATGAAGAGATACCTCTAACCCAAGAGTTTCAAAAGAAAGGGGAGGAAGAATCCAACAGAGACTCAAAATCAGGAAATTTCCCTCTGTTTCGCTTCTGTCTTGTGTTTTACCTTCCATTTTACAATGAATGTGCCAGAAGTGCGTCTTGCCTGTGCCATACCATAAATATTTGATGGCCCTTTCAGTTTAAGCTCCCCTGTCTCGGAGAAACAGAAGCTATTCACGCTGACATCTGACACATCTTTTCATCACTGCCTGCAGTCTGGAGTTACCTGTCTCTTTGTTTTTTCCTCCTTTTCACCACCGAAACAAAGCTGCATTGGGCAACCATCTCCTGCATGGGTGCAGTGACTCTAAGAGTAATCTGCAAGTTCATAGCAAAAGCAGCCAGGCTGTGTAGAAACGGGCCAGAAGCAGCACTAACAGAGCTGGGTTGTATTGGGAGGAGAAGGGCTCAGGAGAAGGGTGAGGTGTCTGGCTGTCAGGATTATCAGGGATTCAGCTTATATTGCAAGTGAAGCAGTGACCAGTCTTGCTGAGCTACCTTGTCCCTGGTTAGCACAGCCAGCTAGGCAGGACTAGCAAATGTGCTTCTGAAAAGATGAAAATCAAACTGAATGTGGCTCCACCAGCACTTCATTTAGTTAGAAGATGCTCATGTGGACCTGGTTGTATCATGCTGGTCTCAGAGGTAACGGCTGTTCTGCATCATGTGTATAACAAGGCAAGTCAGATCTTTTCTGCCCTGCAGATGATGTGCTTCCAATTTACGCGTATCCACACAAAATGGGCAAGTCTGTTACGGGAGGCTACGTCTATCGGGGTTGCGAGTATCCAAACTTGAATGGCCTGTACATATTTGGTGATTTTATGAGTGGGTAAGTAAATAATTCAGATACTCACTAAGCTGCACCCCAAGCTGATATTACACCTGCCTGCCAGTGCTCTTGCAGTCTAACAACGAGGACATACTGCTGCTTGCTGGTTGCAAGCACTGGGCAAACCCTGACTGCTCGTTGCAGAGGACTCATGTGGCATGTTTTATATAACCTTTATTCCATGGTCAGTCTTTGCATTCCAGCAGCTTTCAATGTTGCTGATTCACGTTGTGCCAGTACAAATAAAGGGGGAATGATAGGATGTTCATTTAAAGTCCTGGAAGTGGTGTCAAAAAGATTTTGGATACGTTCTACAAAAACCATCCCATTGTAATACAATGTCTCCAGACAGGGAAAGACATTGAAAGAAAAAAGTTTGTGGCAGAGAGTGATGAGGCAAGCATGAGACTGCCTTGTTTGCCCCCCCACCTCCTCTGCCTTTGCTGTATCTGCTTCTGCCAGGCCTCTCACCCACAGCCCCGACACCTCCTGCCCCGGCTGATGTGCTGGTCCTGGGTGTGGGAGAGAGGCTGCAATGCTGCAGTGAAGCCAGGCGCTCTGGCAAGGTTCTCCCAAATAGTCTGATATCCCTTAAACCTCCCCTATTGTTCCTTCATGTGCTTGTCTTGCCCTTGAAAAATAAGATGTTGAAGGGGCATGTAGTATATTTGTTTTAATGTTAACAATTCTTCCCTTTTCAGAGGAGCTTTAGTTCCTATTGCAGCTGGTGTGGCTAGGAAGCATTAAGTGTCCTTTCAGTGTTCACATTAATGTTCATAAATCATCTTCTTCGTTGTGTTAGGGAGATGTTCTTTTGCCTTGCAGACGCCTGATGTCTTTAAAGGAGGATCATGCTACGGGAGAGTGGCAGTACAGCGAAATCTGCATGGGGACGGGACAAACGTGCATGTTCCCTGGGCTTATCAATAACTATTACCAATACATCATCTCCTTTGCTGAAGATGAAGCAGGTAACCTTTTAACTTTATGTCACACTGAGTGGCATGCTTGTGGTTTCTCTTTGAAGTAAAACATCACAGAGGGCTCCTGGGAGGCAGCAGCTGTTGGGCAGGCAGAGCATGAGTCTTTAAAATGCTGGTGGGTGAGATTCCCAGCATCTCCCGAATATCAAACCAAAATTAGAATCCTAATTTTTGAGGCCAGCGTGCCACGCAGTGCCTGCAGATGGAACTGGAGAGGCAGTTCCCTGCAGGGCTGAGGCTGGGGTCCTGGGGGTGCTGCTGCCCACACACCTGTCCTCTGGAGGGATGAGGAACAGCAACGGGGTGAAATACAATAAAGCACACCTTAGGAAAGAAACCTCATTCTTCAGCAAGGCGTGCCATGGGGAATGCAGGCCCTGAGAGGCTGGGCAGCTGATAGCCAAGTGCGAGCAAGTCTGTGCTCTTGGCTAGTCCAGAAGGCTGTTGGCGTTATTACTGGATACAGAGAAGCAGATGTCATGAACAGTAGTTACGGACCTGCTCACCTTGGCCTGGAGTATTTGTACGTCTTGAGGTGAAGCAGAATTAAAGCCCTACGTTATGTCTCGAGTGAGGCACTGGCAAAAGGCTGCTTAAGTACATATTTTATTAGTGCCAGCTGGGGTTTTGCCTTGCACAGGAATGAGGGATTTAGTCTCAGTGGGATTTTGCATAGCTGAGTTTTAAGACTGGAGACGTTTTGCTTTCTAGGAGGGAGCTGCTAGGATTTAAAAAAGAAGTAAAGAGTTGTTGGGTGAAAGCTGGTTGTACAAGGGTGTGGTTAATTGCCCAGGCCTGCAGCAGGGCAGGCAGAGGGTGCACCTCCTGGCTGGGAACGGGGAAAGGATGAGCTCTGCGATTTTTATCCCCATTGCTAAGTAACCTTGTGTGTGACTTGGCAATGTGGAAGTTTGTGCTCTGTCCTGTTGTGGGGAGGTTCTGGCTCATGGTCACAAGCACTCACTTCCAGAAAGCCCCAGTTTTGAACTTCTGTTTTCCTTCAGATTATGTCAGGTGTGGATGTTGCACAAATACAACATGCATTGCCTATCATATAAATGCAAATTTTATCATGTAAATGCAAGTCATCCAAACCACGTATTAGCTCAACAGTTTGATGTTGGAATTCTATCTTTTTTTTAAAGTTAAAATCCATTTTCTTTAATGGTTAATGTTCAGGGAAGATAGAGCTGTTTGGCAGTGCTGTGACGTGAAGGATATCTTACCCTAAAATCAGAATAACTTAGTTTAAATCAGCTTTATGCCAATTCAGAGGGCTGTCAAGTGCAGTATCGAGCTGTTAATTGCAGCCCCTGCTCATGCTTGTGGGGAGAGCAGCATCTCCCTCATTCTGTGCCTCTGGGCAGAGGATCTGTGCAAACGGGGTGAAATGCCCCCATCCTTCTTGGGCCCTGCACTTTTCACGTGTACTTACCATAGGTTCAATAATGCTGGGTGGAAATTTGGGCTGGAGTCTGTTCTCAGAGGTAGTTTGTTGCCTTGCATTTGTTTTATTGTAATGGAAAGAAATCTGTTGAGAGCAGTGTGGTGAGGTTGCTTTATCTGCAATGAACATTCTCTTGCACCTTTTTGGTGTGCTGGGAATCTGGTTTTTTACAATTTTATCACACAGTTTATTTTAACAAGCTTTTCTTCACAGAAGCATTTGTTTTCTGGGGTTGTTGCTTTGATGAACATTAATCTGGCTGCTTCGGTGGATATCCTTATGCTGTGGGGACACTTCTATTTCTGGCTCATTGCACAGGCTTTATAAAGTCACCAGCCCCATCCCCTGGCAGCTGAATGTCTCGGGGCCACCTCGGGCACTGTGCGACATGTCTGTGGGGCACATGTGTGATAAGTCTGTGTGTTTCATGGCCTGAGCATCCAGATTTCTGGCTGATAATAAAAAAGAGGGATGGGATGTAAAGCACACGTCACTGCACCACCAGATACGGTGCCAGGTGTTTCCCATCCCTGTTTGGATCAAGGCTGCCTCTGGCCTATGGTTAATGGAGCCCACCAGGAAAAGGAAGAAACTGGGCAGAGGTGGCCAGGGATGACTGGTTTCTGCCCTGGGAGCATCTGGAGGAGCTCAGCCCAGGGCAGCTCAGGAGAGCAGGGAGGAGGAGGAGAAGGAGGGAGGCTCAGCAAGTCAGCAGGAGCTGCCAGCAACTGCCCACATCTTCCTTTGCCCACTCTGACCCCTCTACTCCTTCCCCCTGGGGAACTCATAGGAGATGCAGAGGAAAATGCCTTACTCACTAAAAAGATCTCTATTGCTTTTTTTTCCTTCCCTTTTTTACCTCTTTTGACATAGAGCAAATTTATTTTTTCATCCAGATGAGTTCTCTGATCCTTCTCATTGCACTGCTCAGGCACTTGAGCTGGCAAGAGAGTGCTGAAGGGACTGCTTATCCTGGCCTTCCTTCCCCAACAGGAGGAGAGAAATGGAAATCCAGTTAAGAAAAAACACATCAAATACATGGTGATGAAAATTGTCTGGCTGAAGGTTGAGCCCTTTCCCATATGATCTGAGAGAGATGTGACAAACCCAGATGCCTTTCACATGAGATACACATCACTTTGTGAGTGTGCTAGAGAAAACAAAACCAAAATCTTGTTCTGTATTTCACTCCAGAGAAGTGCTTTATCCAGAAGAGCAGAAGATGGTGTGAATAGTCTGAATTTCCTTTCATTTTGTTTTAACAAAGGGATTTCAGGGTTTGACTATTTTGCATTAATGAAGTTAAAAGACACAGATCAGACTGAGATGACAGCTAAAGTCTGGGCAGCTGAACATGTGGTGGAAATTTGTCAAAATAGTATTTTGTGACAATACGTAAAACTCCCACTCACTACAAGTATTTTATACCAGTGGACACTCCTTACAAATCCAAACACAAACCTGCATTTTTTCCTCCTATAACCAGATCTCTTCATCTTTCCTGATGCTCTCTGTTAATACCATTGTGCTGTAGAGGACAGAAGCTCCATAGAGAGTTTTCGTATCTCTGTTTGTTGGGTTTTTTTATTTTTCCCAGGAGAACTTTACTTCATGTCTACTGGCGTACCAAGTGCCACAGCTCCCCATGGAGTGGTGTACAAAGTGGTGGACACCTCCAGGTATGAGATGTTCTTGTTGCAAAGCCTAAACGTGGTTCCACATGTCTAGGTGTGGATGTGATGAATGATGTTCACTGATGTTCACTGGCTCTTCTCCCATGCTGGGCCTTTCTGTGGACATTGATCAAGGAATGGCTGGAGCAACCCATCGTGGGTTTGCTTTGCTCCTGCAGTCATGGGAGTCCACGCTGCCTGCTGATCACCAACTTGTTATGGGGCCTGTAGGTGTTCTCTGGGTTGGGAAATCTGTTCCTGAAAGCTTAAGAAGTATTTTATGGGTGACTTGTCTTTCTCAGACAAAGTTTCTCTAGATTCCTGCCCAAAAGGAGGCAGTTTTTCTCCAGGTATTTACTCTCAGTTCCTCTTGTAGCTGGCTGCATCTCCCGTGAGAGCCCCATGCTCAGGCAGCTGCAGCTGAAGCTGACCCAGTGTGACCTGCAGTGCTTTCTGAGGCAAACCAGAAATGAATGTCAAAAAGTACTTTTTTTTTGTGTTTCAAAGAGTAAAGTGGCTTGGACAAGGACATAAGACCATTTGTTACACCTGGATCCCACATGTATGTATCTGAGATTGGGCAAGTCAGGGGATAACTGTGTTTTAGGGGAAGACTTATAGCTGTTTTTTCCATCTTCCTGTTTTTTAAGCGTTACTATTATTGGCTAAAACCTAAAATATTTTCAGCCAGACATGTAGAGCGAAACTTTTGTAGCTTTTTTTTTTTTTAAAAAGGGATTATATTTACAGCTTTAGCTATCTGAGCATGTTGAACCAAACCACTGGTCTGGTTTTGTGTTGGAACCAGACCTCGAAGTTAAACAGCCCCCAGAGCTGCTGCATGTTTTCCTCTGACTCTGTGAGGAGCATTTTCCATTATCTAACACAGTGAAGAGTTCCTGTAAACTGTGTATTAAGAGGCTGGTATTACGCAATCTTTGCAAAAACAAAGAAAGCAGAAGTTAAAAATAAGTCGTAAGTTTAAGTGACTGAAGTTTCTTTAATGCGTAGAGCATAGGAAAAAAAACATAGGAAAATTCATAAAAGTAGGCAACATCCTAAGTTGGTAGTTGAGAGAGAAGCTCTTTGCCTTCCACAGAAATGCAAATGAAAACAATCCTAGTTACAAAGGACTTAAACTCTCCAAATTCGAACATCATGCATTTTTGAACCAGTTTGAAAACCTCTGAAGTCTGCAGATTGTAGGAAAAAGTGGTGATAAACTGGATGTAGCTTCTCAGAGGTGAGGTATACCTTCATGGCAAACAAATCTGTGTCAAAATAATATGATGTACTAAGAGGGAGCCTCTGTAGGAGACACTTAGAGCTCTTGTTTGAAACTAATGGAGTTTTGGCACTGCTTTTTTCTGTGCATAGATCATAGAATCATGGAATGGCCTAGGCTGAATCGTAGAATGCGTTGGGCTGGAAGGGACCTTTAAAGGTCATCTAGTCCAGCGTCCCTGCAGTAAACAGGAACATCTTAAACTAGATCAGGTTGCTCAGTTTTGTTTGGGCTTTATGTATGAATAATACTGTAATATTTTGCTTCTTGGAAGACAGCCTGAAAACTTGCGTACACATTACCTTTATGTCAGATGTTCAACATTGACTATCTAGTTTTGTAATTTTTATTTTCAGTTTGATTCATCTCTTTCTGTAATGCTTCAACCTGCCAGTGTTTTATTTCCTTAATGGATTCAGCAATGGCAAGTGGAAACACAGCTAGAGAACTCCACTGCCTTGTAAATGTTTGGACTTTGATCAATGGAGATACATGATTGTTTAATTATGTTTTCTACTGTAAGAGTTTACTTGGATCATTTAAACAGACCTCTTTTTTTTTTTCCAATGAGCACTACAGTTGTAGAAAAACGGGAAGCAAGGGCTCTTGATGCCAGGGGAAAGGAATAATTGTGCACTGTATGTGTCCCATTTTTTTGCAGGAGAGCACCACCAGGAAAATGCCGAGTTGAGCCAACGCCAGTGAAAGTAAAAAGCAAGCGCATCCAGTTTGTGCCAAAGGAGAGTAAGTGTCACTGTTGCTGTTTGTTATTGGTGCATGTTAGCTGGCAGTAAATACAAACTCCAGGCTCACACTATCTCTGTATGTGTGAAGACCACCCAGAACTTCACTCTTCAGAGTGTTCTCAGAATTAATTCTTACCAGCTGTTTTGTATCTGAAGAGTTGGTTCAAATAAAGCATAAGGTATTTGCCCTCTCATGGCTGTGTAAAATCTTCTCTGTAGTTTCTGACCCTGCACATTTTCCCTTTTCCATGATACGTCGTACCTGTTTCATTACTAACAACTTGGTTTCCTCCCATAACTGTTTCTGTACCAAGATTCTGTGCTCAGTGGTGCATTTCTGTATGATTTCAGTGCTAAGTGATTTTTTTTTTTCAGGTAGTGAGGAGCGCTTGAGGAGCTGCAGGATATGAGGGCTAAAGGGTTGGGAAACAGCTCATTGAGCAAGATGAGGGCTGAGTCATTGTTAGTTGTAAGTGAGAGAATATGGGATGAGAAAATACTCCCAGAAGAATCGGTGTGATCAGCCATTCAGGTGAACTTTTGGCTTAAAAAAAAAACCCTCGAGGGCTTTTTGATTGCTTCATGGTGAATGAAGTATTGTGTGGCAGAAGCTGGAGTAGTCAGTGATGTAGCTGAATCTGCAGCAAGCCAAGTACTATTTATGTTAAGTGCAAAAACCTAAATACACTAGTAGAATCTCAAAATTAGATTAGGCAGCATTACTTTTATTTCCTCTGTGCATTTTGTTTACACATGTAAGTACCTAGGGAGTACTTTAACAACTTTGTCCTGACATTAATATTACTGTAGGAACTCTAATGTCAGAGTACTTTCATTTAATTTTTAATTACATTCAGCTTGTTACACTGCATTTGAGTCATAGACAGTTCTTAGAGCTTGAATTTCAGGGAGAAATGAGGGCACTCAGCACCTCTCCAGACTGAGTCTTTAAGGTGGAACAAGATCTAAAGCCAGTTATTAACTATTGACACGCCTGAGCACTCAGCAGGTCTTCAGAAACATTCTCCTTTGCAAGCTGTACACGCAGTTTCCAAACATTAGTAACTTGGTTTGTGTTCAACCAGTTCTGTCTCTGTTTCTGTTCATGCATTTTTTTCTATGTTGAGGTTCAGCTTTTTAAGCTCTGCATATAACTAAATCTTTTGGGTTTGTTTACACTGTAGTTTTCATCATAAATTAAAACTTAGAAACAGTGGGAGAGAATCTGCTAAGTGTCTCAAGAACTAAATTCACTTTTAGGTGAGAACCAACCATGGAAATTTTTATTTGGAAACATACCAACAAGGACGTGTAACTGTAAATATTTTGCTGTTTTGGTTAGTGTTTAGCGCTTGCATTAGCTGGATGAGTGCATTTGTTGAAAGTGTATTTAATAAATAGCTTGCCAAAGAGTAATGTATAATAACAACTTCATTCAGGGAGGTGAAAAGCACTCCCAGGTGACCGTTAGCTTTCCTGCGGTCCTACCTATCGATATATGAGTTCCAGGAATTTTAAGTGCTTTGCTAGACCAGGCTCCAGCAACAGAGATGTGCACAGGTAAGGCTTTCCCATCTGTTTCTTGCCTTCAGAACCTCAGCTTCCAGTGAAGGGAAGTCTTTTTCACGCCATAAATACAACTCCTCTCCAAAGAGCATTATTTAGAAAAACTGGACCACTGCAAGGGTTTGTCTTTTGGGGACAATAGATGTTAAGCAGAAATAAGGCAGTCATATTTTTCCTGTACTACAAAGCAAATTGTGAATGAGAATGGATAAATCTAGGCTATAATTCAAAAAGTTATGATGCCTTTGCAAATGTCTGTGACACTGTCCTGGCTCAGTTGATTGTTATTCTGAGCAATTCTGAATTGTTTCCTTCTGACAAGCTAAAACTTATTTTTAAGCTAAAAATAGAGCAAGTCCAGTAATGCCTGGAAACTGTGACAGCAAAGAATTTTCAGCTCTTCTGAGTTCAAGGCTCTTTTTAAATTTTTTTCATAAGGAAGAAAAAAGCCCAGCCCCAAATCCTGTTTTATGTGTTGTCCTGGAAACTCTGTTCCTTTTGCACATTCCAGTTGCCAGAGAGAATTGATTTTGAATGTTCCTGATTTCAGCTCTTCTGAATAAAGCATCTGGCCCAGTGGGGAGGCCAGTGCTCTCCCTCTGGTAATGATCCAATCCAATCATTAGTAATGGAGGGAAGAGCAGAAATAGTGCCTGTCTTTAAAATGCTTTCAGCAGGGGAGAAGGGTAGGATGGGGAACTCCTCTTCTGACCCTGAAACTCCAGCGCCTACCCTTTAATGGCCAGGTCGAAGTTTTGCCAATAAACTGCTTGGAGTGGAGTTTCCTTTCTGGGAGCGGCTTTCTCGTGGGCATTAAGCCCTGCAGTCCTCTCTGCTAACTGAAAGCAGCCGACATCTTTCACTGAGGAAATATTGGCTCACCGGCAGCGTTGTCGCTTCTCAACAGGATTGAGTAAGCAAGTTGCAAGAAACAAGTTAAATAACTCAAAAGTCAGCACTGGTTTAATATAGTTGTCTCTAAGTATTTTCCATGGAGTGACAGACTCTTGGTTATTTTTGTTTTTTTTTCGGCACTGGTTTAATATAGTTGTCTCTAAGTATTGTCCATGGAGTGACAGACTCTTAGTTATTTTTGTTTTTTTTTCATTTTACCCCCAACAGAGTTTATTATGAAAACACCGACGCCACGTCCCCGACTGAAGCCCACGACTGAGGCCCCATGGGGAGGCAGTTGGGACCACGAAACCCACCGCACACCAGCCGTGGACTGGGTGGACCAAGCCCCACCACCGCCGGGGAACAGGAGCAGGACGCCCGCTACCCTGGCGCCCAGCGGCAGCAGGACCCCCAGGCCCAGGAAGGGAGGAGAGAGGAGGGGGCAGCGAAGGAAGAAGAAACCCCCCGGCACATCTCCACCACTGCGGAATGGGGCCGTGCGGCTGATGGAGCAGCGGCGCCGGGGCCGGAGCCGGGGCCGAGTGGAGATTTACATCAACGGTGAGTGGGGCACTGTGTGCGATGATGGCTGGAGCTCGGCCGCTGCTGCTGTGGTGTGCCGCCAGCTGGGCTTCCCCTATGTGGTGCGGGCCAGCAAGAAGGCAGAATTTGGGGAAGGGACCACCCTACGCATTCTCCTGGACGATGTCCAGTGCTCCGGGCAGGAGAAGACGTTGCTGGAGTGCCCCCACGCTGACGTGGGCACACACAACTGCTCCCACGAGGAGGACGCCGGCGTCGTGTGCAGCTGGGAGGAGGTGGCAGACCGGTGACAGAGGGGCTGGCGAGGGCAGCCGAGGGATTCAAGCACGTTCCTTTCTTGCCTGATTCTCCAAACCAGCATCAGCATTGAGGAGGATGTGCTCTGCTCTGTGTACACTGCGTCCGTTTGAAGTAATCTTGCCTTTTTGTTCATGCTCATCCCCGTGCATCTGCCCTGGAGAGAAAGAAGAAGTAAAATGAAGCAGTGACTTGACTATGGCTTCAGCAGGGACTATGTCTGTACGTTTGTTGGGGTTTTTTATAAGCAGAAAAGCCCAAATGTCATCCCTTATATATTAGAAAAGAGAACCATCCTGCCGCCCTTCCTCCTTTCAAAATACAGCATTCCCCAGCTGTGCTTCAGTGTTTTGCCAAAAAATAAATTCCTAAATCATCATAATTCACTCTTATGGAAGTGTTCATGTTGTTTGGCTTGCTTTGCCACCTGCAGCTCTGAGTGGTGATTTCTAAGTGCCTTTCTTTGCAGAATACAAAAGAAGCCTTTTTTTTTTTTTAACTTTCCATACACTACTTTAAAGGAAAATGATTTTTCTGTACTGCTTTTTATTGGTATAAGCCAATTAGTTATCAAAGATAACTGTATAAGCAAAATCGGATAAGTTAGAAAATGTTACAGCATTCTGCATGGAAAATATTTCTGCAGTTTACACCAGCCTAAGTGAAAAGAAAATCTGGTATTTTTTACATGAACAGAATTATTACCCAGTTTAACCCAGAAGATACTTTGTATGTGTTTCTCCACTTCCTCGAACTATGTGAAGCCCTGGTTTTGCATTCTGTTTTCACAGGTGTGAATGACTAGACAAGAGGTAATGTGCTGGGATAATAATCCTGTAATATTTACCCCTCTTTAAAGGATATTAAAAAAATAACCATAAAACTCACTTTGTCTGAAATGCATTTCTCACCTGAGTGGTGACTGGAGACACGTGTTATCCTCTTGTGGTGTCTCTGCATTTGATTGCATTTTGCTTGTTTGGTTTTTTTTTCCCCCCAATGTAATCAGGATAGGTTTTATCTTGCTGCTCACACAAGAACAGGAGAAAGATAAAATGAAACAAATGTAAAATGATGAGTGCATCCAGAAAAGGTCACAGGCAATAAAGCTCTTACTGTGGATCTTTCAAGTTGACAATGTTATCTTAAGCCTAAAACATTGATGTATATGGTATATGAATTTGTTTTAAAGATTTTTTCCTGAACTTTCTGATATACCCATTAGATATTGTTTTATATTAAAGAATACCTTCACTATATAAAAGCAGATAATTAGAAAAATAGCACTGTCTCCCTAGACCTTATTAAGTATCAAGGGGAGAACAGAGGTATAAAGGGCCTTTTGCAAAACACTACTCTTCTTTCATTGGAAATCCTGCAAAACCCATCGGGAGACAGACTGTCATTAGGGTTTTCCTATTGCAGTGAAGGTGCAAATGCATTTGTTTAAAGTGCAGAAATTCACTTCAGGCACATCAAAACATTCAGGGAACAAGAGAGCCTTTATAAATTCTTCTGTTGAAAGAGTTGGCACCTGTTGAGCTGATGGGACTAGAAGGCTGGAAGAAAACAGAAAGGAAAGATATAATCTTTCTTCCCCAAAATTCATCTTCTGCTTCTTTTATATCCTTAGCCAAATTTCAGCTAAATTTTCCAGTGAGTTTTTAAGGAGAATCTTGGTTGTAGTTATTGTTAAGAACTTCTGAGTAGAAAAAAGACCTGCACAACAAAAGTTACTCTAAAGGAACTGAGATGATTCAAGGATGTTTGCCATAGACCAGCTAGATGGGAATTTCATCATAATTTTCCAGATACTTTAATTTTTTTTTCTCATTTAACTGTTACCCTACACCTGCTTTGAACTTCCTGAGCAGAAGCAGAGGCCGCCTACATCTTGCATATCGTGGGTCGTGACTGCCCTCAACCCACAGGCGGCAGTCCCGCAGTGGCACAGAGTGCTGGTCACTGCTCGGGGCACATGGAACCAGCCCAGGAGGAGCTTCACAGGGGAAATTCTTATCGGCAAAGGCAGAGATGAGACTTGCAAATAAGTCTTTATTTCTCCCTTATCCCAGCCTACACTGAATGGGGAAAGCATTCAGGTAGGTGCCTGCCAGCTCAATATGCTGCTATGGTGCTGGGAAGATATTTCTGACCACTGTGGTCCCTTCCAAGCTTAAAATACATCTGTTCTATATCTGTTCTAAATCTTGGTATTTGTCAGTCTAGTTCTCTGGTATTTAAATAACGAGCCTGTAATATTCAAAGCACAGGCGTACATGTGCATTTAAATACCTGATATATCATCTGTTGTTTAGTAGGATTCTTATTGATAGCTTTTTCTTCTCCACTTTAAAATGCACTTATATACCAGCACATCACAGAAATTGAGCTTTAGATAAACTAATGAACCCTGCTGCTACATTTGAATGTGCCAGTGTACCACCTGAATGCTGATCCAGGGGAAAGGCCTTAGAGTAGCCCAGAATCATGCTGGTTACCACAGCGCGGCTGCTCCTCTGCATGTGTTATGTGCCAGTCCCAGACTTTTGTCTAGGAGCAATATGGTTTATTGCCTTCTCTCCTGATTCACCTCTGTGACTGAGACTGGAGCATCTACATTCTTCCTGATGCATTTTTCCTTTCCTTAGCACAGCTGCATCACACGAAGGACCCAGCATATCTCTAAGGGAACAGTGCACACCCAGCCTTGCTACCTTCTTTTTCTCTACTTCCAAGGCAGAGTAGCTCTGTGCAGAGCTCAGGTTTTTTGGTTCTTTTCCATGTGGACTGCTTCTGGTACCCAGTAGCCAGCCCGAGCAGCACCACGCTGTGCTGCAGTCATGTGGCTGGTGTTGCACTGAGCCGGGTAACAATCTGCTGGCACTGCGATGTTCTAATCCTAGGTTCAAAGATATACAAAAGATGAATCTGTCTGAACTCTCAGGCACATAGGTTCACTCTTAGATCAAATGGTAAGCAGAGCTGCAATCGTATAGCAAGAAGCTTGAAAATACAAATCTTTGGTACTTTCCAGTCCTTGGAGTGGAGAACTTTATCTTTTGCAAGTGATTATTTAGCACCATATGGCAGCTATGTGGGGTGGTCAGGCAGAGGAAGGTGAAGGAGCACTCCATACAGACACAATGAACGTGGAGGGGGAAGTGCTTCCTCTGGGATTGCCCACGGGTGACAGAGCTGCCGGAGCCAGCAGAAGGACCAAAATCCAGCCAGTGCTTTTTCCTGGGGAAGGAGGAGATGCCTAGTAAAATCAGTCCCCGAGTTTGCATTTCTGCTGCAGATGGATGAAGTACAGTGCTCATATGAGCCCCAGACCCCACCACTTCCATCTGGACCTTCAGGCAGGGGGTGAGGGCTTAGACTAAATTCTCCAGGAGAGGTACTGATTTAATCACCATCTGCACTTAACAAGTAGCACACAACAGATGGAGACATTTAACAATAAAATTAAACCCTCTTTATTTAGAAATGTATTTTATTGGTAAATTCAGGCGGCCCCGGGATGTCCAGCCCTCTGGCTACCTGCATACTGCAGAAGGCACTTCCCAGCACTGGAGATACCTATGCTGTGCCTTTTCCTTGCTGTCCTCACAGCCTATATGATGCTGGACGTCTTGAGAGAGAGCAGTAAACGTTTTCAAACCTAAATAGCTATGAAAAGACAAGAAAAAGAGAGCAGGAGTTTGGACTAACCCCATGCCCGGTCAGTTTTTCAGATCCACCTTGCAACTTCACACCAGTTAATGGTTCCCGACTCTTTGCTCTTCATGCTTACGGGAATGTGCAAATCGGAAAAATGCCCATGCGACCGCAGTTCGGTCCCCAGCAGAAAAGTGGCAGATGGGGATGTTCAGCGTGCCCAAAGCCTGCACTCCTTCCATCTTAGTGCAGCCTGTGGCTCCCAGGCAGATAATAAACCTAAGAGTGCAGTCCCTTGGCACCTATGCCCTTCACTCAAGGGTACAGAAACAAGTGAGAATACAAACAAAAGTTGTTATCAAAGCTTGTTACGACACAAACAAAAGGTTTTATTAAAGCTTATCTTCAAAGCCTGAAATATAAGCTAATTTCTGCAATCTATCCAGGCTGAACACTTAGGGAGGGGGAGTTATCAGCTGATAATTACATCTGCATGAGAAGATTTTTTTCTCAAAGCTTGCCTGTTCTAGACGGGGATCAGAAATATATTACAGGGCCTCTCTATCCCATCAAAATGTATAAAATGCGAAATATTTTGTGATCTCCCTGTGAGCTGCTCACAAACAAGGTACAAGCAGGAACTTTCCACAGGAATTATCCTGCAAGTGATTTCAGATGAAAAAACACCTTACAGATAGTTACAATCTATTCTTGAAATATTTTGAAAAAAGCATTGACGAAAGTCAGAAAATCAGTGTTTCATCAGGACGTTCACTGAGTGGCTTTAAGGATGTGGTTTCATTAGCTAGCTTTAGTTTTTAAGCACTTTCTCTGGGTGATGCTATTGTGATTAGCTACATCTTTCCTAGAAATGGGTATTTGTATCATGAGATCGTCATATATTGCCTGACCAAGTGGGAAGGAATGTTAGCTGTCTTTTTTTCCTGAAAATAAGAAGTTATAAAACCCTAGCCTTAACAGGAAAAAAAATCTAGTTAAAATTAAGATAAACAGGAACACTTGTCAGAAAATATTGTTGGTATTTGACAATATAACAACATAATTTCCAGACAAAAAAGAAATCTCTGTGAAAGCATGGGTACTCAAAGCAGAAGGGAAAATCGTTCCAATTTGTTGTTGCAGTTATTACAAACCAAAGAGGGAAGTCCTGGATCAAGAAAAATCAATGTTAAGATTAAATCTAAGAGAAATATAAACAATATTTTAAAATGTATAACCAGCTTTTGCTCCATTCTGTACTGACAAATTGCTTCTAACTTTTTGTACCATTTAACTGTTATCATAAGCAAGTTTTTCTCTGTGGTTGTAATGC